TTGGAATATTTTCTTCTTCTTCAGGTACCGTCTCCTCTAAGGACGTTGGTAATCAGCACAGCTATTTTCACTATTGAGACTGCAGCTCTAAACAAGTCGATATAACTGCAATTATACCACTCTCTCAGATTGTTGAGCCAGGAGATACGTCTTCTTCCAATACTTCGTCTTCCCTGTATTTTTCCTGCATTACGGTTTGTAGCAATACATATTTATCCCCTCTCATAACGTGGCAGAGACATTGTAACTTTCTTATCTTGAAATATATGGTATTTGATTATTTTTCTCAAAAAAATCTTTAATAACTAACTTAAAACTTAATCGATTTGATGAATTATATTCCTGACTTCTTTAAATATTTGTTTTAGCTTAAATCGATGGCAAGTTTTTGTTATCACTACTGTTTTTAATATCCTTTGAGTAGTCAACCTGAGAGTTATTATGCAAACCATTTGTAGGTAGAATTATGTCATTCCCATCTGTAAATTCAATATCAGAAATACCATTTTTGCCCGCGGACATGACGGGGCATGTCGTTTAACAAAAAGTATATAAAAAATTTCTACTTACAGTACATTTCACAGAATAGCAGAACTTTAAATATAAAGCAAAACAAACAAAATTGGCTAAACACTTTTCTGATACCACGCATAACACCCTAAACACTGTTATTCTTAAAACACACTTCTGCACTTCACAACAGATCGGAATCGAATAAAAATAGACTTTAGAACTGCTCAAATATATAAATTTTCCCGAGGAACTCTTAAACGCCTCCACACACTTTCACAGTTTTTTTGTCAGTTAAAATCACTAAAACAAAATATATATAATTACATTAATAATAAATATACAAACATATACAAACTATACATTATCTTCTTAACGTGCCCTATCAAGTCCCCTTGACATTAGCGATTAATATGGCGAAACTGTCTCTGTCTCGAGCTATTCTAAAGAGTTGCTCAGCTTTCTTTATTCCTGTCTACTCTCTGATATTCTTCAATCAAGAGGCCTGCTTTTTACCAATTCCTCTGCGTCCTTCGATTTTACCCATCATAATAAGTTGAAGAATATTATATCGGTCTCCCCTTACTACGTGTCCAAAATAGGCAATCTTTCCACATTTGATGTTATCAAGCAGCTCGCGAGCAGCATTTGCTCTCTCAAGGAGTGCCACATTTGTCAGCATAGCCGTCCATGGAATTTTTACTATACGTCTGTGCAGCCACATTTCAAAGGCCTCCAGACGATTAATGGTGGATATTTTTAATGTCCAAGCTTCGACACCGTATAAGAGGACTGACCAAATGTAGCATTTATGCATACGCTTTCGAAGTTGAAGTTTCAAGTTATCATTACAGAAGAATGACCTCATTTTTAAAAATGTCGTGCGGGCTATCTCGATTCTACATTTTATCTCTTGATCTGGATCTAGTTGTTCAGTAATATGACAACCAAGATATTTAAAACTGGACACTCTTTGAATTATATGACCATCAACATATAATCGTGCATCTTGACGTGCTAAACGGCTAAACACCATGTGTTTTGTTTGTGAACAGTTTATGTTTAGGCCAAACTCTATTCCCACTGTATCAATAACATTTAAAAGGCATTGTAATCCATTCATATCATCACTTAAAATAACTGTATCGTCTGCATATCTGATTGTATTTATCAGAATTCCATTAACTTTCACGCCCCATTCCAAATTATGCAGCGCTTCTTTAAATATTCTATCTGAATATAAATTAAATAACAGTGGGGATAGTATACCACCCTGTCTGACACCTCTTTGTATTTTACCCATTTCTGTTGATTTTCCGTTTATGCAAGCTGTCGCTGTTTGATGCCAGTATAACTTTTCTATGAATCGTATGTCTTGACTATCAACTCCCTTATCTTTTAATATTGTAATTAATTCGATCAAAGGCCTTTTCATAGTCCATAAATACAGCAAAGACGTCTTTCCTTTGATCTCGACATTTATGCAGTAATACATTTAGTGCAAAGAGGGCGTCCCGAGTTCCCAGTCCATTTCTGAAGCCAAATTGTGTTTCATCCTGATCTATGAAACTATACATAAATAAATTAAATTAAAACCGTTTTCGAAAGGTCACTAGATATGTATCGTATAGGTAGAGAAACATAGCACATACTTGACAGTCACAAGTCTTAGTCTTGACTTCATCGACAGAGAAAGGCAAATTCTTTGATTTTATCCAGTGAAACATTCGTGTTATCCCTCGATAACAAAGTGCTGTGTAAAGTGACTTGAGTTTTAATGCAACTGCCGTCGGGGTAGCAGCGCAAGCGCAGATCCGCGATACAGCATCTGCTGCTTGGTTGTCTTTTCGTGTTCGATACACGATGTCATATTTAGAAGGTGCTAATTAAATTCCGCATCTTTATATTTTTTTATTATTGATCTTGCTGGAATATTTGGTCTTAAATATAAATGTTACAGACCTTTGTTCAGTAATGATTCAAAGGCTTTTCTATTAGAAAATGACGCCAATTCTTTAAAAATTTAACAATAGCATATACTTCTTTCTTTACAGCAGAATGGTTTGGCTCGCCAGAGTTAAGTGATCTTGAAAAGAATGCAACTGGTCTAGAACCCTGACTCAAGGTAGCAGTAATTGAGTATTCTGAAGTATCAGTTTCAACAACAAATGGCAGATTGACAGCGTATAGAGACGACTTTGCAACTATAGATTTCAGATGTTCAATACAAGATAAAGCATCTTATTCCAATGGACAATTTTTGACATGAGCTAATATTTGGACTCTTTCGGAAAAATTAACAATCCATTTTGAATAATGGCAAGCATACATAATACCCTTCTGAAAAGTGCTGTGTCATTCAATGAAAGCATTTTTAATATGGATTGTAGTCTGCTACCATCAGGCTTTATGACATGGTTTGGTCCTATAGTATAACCGTTCAACCGTTCAGAACCGGTAAGTTCGTTACTATTTGATTAAATTTTCTCTTCGTTTTGTTAAGAGTCAAGCTATATTTGTCCGACTTTCAAAAAGATCTCAAGATTTTGGTCATAATATACCTTTGTCTCACCACAAACAGTTATGTCATCGAGGTAGGCATATATAACTCCGAGATTTTTTGTGTGTATGAGCTAAATGATACGTTCAAAAGAAATACAATAAAATTGGTATAGTTTTCCAATGGCTTAAAAAGCTGTGTACATCTTTTCATGTGGAAGTATTGGAACCTGATGGTATGAACTTAAGGAATACTAAAGACAGTAAATTGTAATACTTTGAATACCAGTTACTCGATATTTGGTAGTGGATGGACATCAAGTGGAGTAAATTGATTAATTGTTTAAGAGTAATCAGTGACAAGGCGCTTCTTGTGAGTTCCGTTTTTGGTGATAAGGACTTTAAGCTCTTTAAGGATATGGACTTTCTTTAATACTGCCATCATTTAAAAGCTTTTTTACCTTATTTTTAATAAAAATCTGATCTTCAGCACTGTGCATGATTGTACTATAATAGGTTTACAATTTAAAGTCAGGTTAAAAAAATAAAGGAACTACATTAATGAGGCTTCAACTACACTACAGACCTTGCATACTTCTTTAGACGTTCCAAATTCAAACTCTGGACTTAAGTGATTTGATTAAACATCATAACTCATAACTAATAATCATATTGGCAGAGAGATTTTTAACTATAAGTAAATTAATATCATAGAAATGGTGACAAATCTTAATATTTTGAGTAGACACACTTTTATCTTAAGAAGTGTGCAATAATGGGGCGATAGAAATAGTTTGTATACTTAAGTTCCTAGGAAGTTTGCACAAATTAACGAAGTCTTTATTAATAAAACTGACAGAGTATTTATAAGCGCATCAACACGAAGTACGATAATGTTTTAATGAACATCAAATAGTACATAATACAACAAACAAAAGCAATAAAAAATAAAACAACATGGCAGTGACACAGTTATCAAACACTGACAGAAATAAAGTTGCCTACAATTTTCAAAGTGTACAACCAATGCAACAGCAAGGAGGCTAATATCACATCAATCAGCCTTTATCGGTACAATTCTTGCTCTCCTTTGACGTTTACGTCTAAAATCTATATACTATTCATTTTCCTTACGGTTAAATAAAACACTGGCACTAAAATTTTATACAGACTTTCCTATACATTATATTTATTGGTTTGAATACTAAATTTTTCTTCTCAATTTTAATAGTCATTAAAACAAATAGAAAACAAAAAGTGCTTTTGAAATTTTTTCATATTTGATACATGGTCAACTAAAGTCTAACAGTCTAAGTCTACTAGTCTAAGTCTACTATAAATAAATAGATTTATTTATAGTAAATCGCAATAATTACTAATTTATCTTTGCCATCGTATTAACTTAGTCCCTGGTATCTATTTAAAAAAAATCTAATTTAGTAAGAGACACTTGGCTGTTTGCTAACAGACAACAGACCATAGGAAAAACAGAAGAAAAATAAGTTTTTTATAAATAAATAAGAATGCGGACCTGTAATTATTTAATAAATCAACATATTTTCACAATAAATTTGACGAACAACCCTTACTGTGAATGTAGCCTAATAGAGAACCCAAATAATATACTTTTGAATGCCCCATAAGAATCATTATGGGTTTTGACCTATACACAAAATTCATTTATATGAATTATAATTCACCAATTACTATATGTTCCATTTTAAATAAAATTACTGAAGAATCAGTTAGTATTTTGGTAAAATTCTTTTTAATTAATAAACTAAATTTATAATCGACAATGCTCAATACTTTTTGAAGTGTTTACTAACATACCCTCCTATTAATTATTCATGGATTTTTTTTAAAAATTATTTGGCACAAGTAAGTGGCCTCTAATTGCTTACAGCTTACTTCTTCGGGGCCACCACCAAATTGAGCTGGCGTATCACTATGGCGTGGAAGCCATAGAAATAATAAAAGAAGAAGAAATTTGACGTTGACAAAAATTTCTAAAATAATACGTTACTTATATATAAAACAAGTATATTTTTACAAAATGTCCTCAATATACAAAAGAACTATGGCTGCTTTAGATAAAATTGTTCCTACAAAATTTCAACCAATATGGATGCACCCAGCAGGTCCAAAAACGGTATTTTTCTGGGCACCAGCATTTAAATGGGGATTGGTGATAGCTGGAATTGCTGATCTTCAACGTCCTGCAGAATTACTGAGTATTTCTCAAACTACGGCTTTGGTCGTTACTGGAGTTATTTGGTCGAGATGGTCGATGATTATTATTCCTAAAAACTATACATTGCTTAGTGTCAATGCATTTATAGCTATTACTCAAGGTGTTCAATTAATTAGGGTATTACATTATCAATTTAGTAATAAATAGCTATAACATTATTCTTTCAGGAATACATTTGTAAGTTATTTTTATTTGATAACCATATCAAAACGATATGATTAAAGTAAAATTATAATGAAGTGCTTTAAATAAAGTTCTATATATATTTCAGTATAAGGGCAAGTTTGAAGTATGATTTGGTTTCTTTTTTTTATTTTTAATTATTTATTTAGTTATTTTCTGTAAGTAATATTTCATTAATAAAATGTATACTAAAATATTAGTTTTATTATGGATTTTATGTGCTTTAACATATATTGATTTAAAGGCTGCCATTTTATTTGCAGCATAAAATATGTATACTTGCCCATATTATATATTTTTTAAGTCACTGTCCCAGTATTAATATGTGTTTATGCTGGAATATAATGAGACGCCAAAATACCTCGGCGTACATCTGGATAGAACTCTGTCTTATGGATATCACTTACAAGATATCAAGAAAAAAGTAAGCGCCAGAAATAATATCGTCCGCAAACTAACAAATACAAAATTAGGAGCACAACCACACACTCTCCGTACCTCTGCCAAAGCATTATGTTTTTCTGCCGCCGAGTTTAGAGCAGCAGTGTGGAAAAACTCTGCTCACGCTAAAAACGTCGATGTCACCTTTAATGAAACGGTTGTCACGTCAGAGATAAAACGAAAAAAACAGAAGATGGTTTGAAGACACCCCTTGTATGACCAATAAGTTCAGCCAAGTAGACTAAAATCTCGAAAAGGCTTTCTGAAAAAATCACGATCCCCTCAAGAAGAGCCAAAGACGCGCCGAATACACCTATGGCAAGTGTCTACTACAGCACATTTCGCTCTCTCAGAGGAAATGGCTGCTGGACACAATTCGTCATAACCCACATGGAAAGCGCTAAACAGACTAAGAACTGGCATTTCACGCTGTGTTAGTAACCTAAAGAAATGGAGATACGAGGAGGACGATACCTGCGACTTTGGCGTGGTTCAGAATAATCACCATCTACTATCATGCACAGAGAGGAGAGAGACCTGTACAGAAGAAGGCCTATTCTTAGTGAATGACAGTGCTATCTATGTGGACAACCATTGGAAATAAGAAATTTAATGCTGTTGGTGTTCCGTACATGTAAGGTAAGTAAGTAATATGTTTTTATATATTTAATTGTCTTCAGGTAATCTATTTTTATAATACGTTAATAAATATTGTATGTCCTTATATTATCTCTATTTAAAGTTTTTAATGAAAATAATAATAGAGTTATAATAATAGAAAAAGTTAACCTTACTCCAAACATAATTTAAAGCTGTAATGTATTAAGCCAGACAGATTGTTCTGCGACCGTAGAACAATTAAAAACACTTTACATTTATATCCATATGTCCATGTAAAATACAAATTAATGGCATTAGTATTGAATAAGTAATAAAAATAAAATACCTGCGAATTACACTGTCTAGCTATGGGAACCTGGACAAAGAATTGAGAGGTAATGTACAAAAAGCAAATAGACTGGCAGGATGCCTTAATAATACTACTCGTATATGGCGAAATAGACACATTAACACAAGATGAAGTTAAGAATTTATAATGTCAGTATAAGACCAATAATAACATATGCCTCAAAAACAAGACCCGATTTAGCCACAACGCAAAGGCTACTGGAAATGGAAGAAATGTTATGCAGACATAGGAGGAAAATGTAACGTACAGTGGATAAATAAATGGACACAAAATGGAAAAAAAATTGAATAACTAACCTTGTCAAATTCCTCAAAAAATATGGGCCTGCAAGTAAATGAGGAGAAAACTAAGATAATGGTAATAACACCCAACAATAGAGCCAGAAACATCGGCCACCAATTCACTGTTGTTAACTCTACCTTTGAAGTGGTGGACAAATTCACATACCTAGGCTCCCTGATCACCAAAGAGAACGTCATGACGGAAGAAATTAAGCGAGGAATAATCCTAGCAAAAAAATGCTATTTTGGATTGAGTAAACATATGAGAAGCAGAAACTTAAGCCAAAAAACAAAAATATCAATATAAAAAACCCTTATACAACCAGTGTTGACATATGGATCGGAGACATGGACTATCTCCAAAGAAGATGAAAACCTCCTGCTTATATTTGAACGAAGAATCCTGAGAAGAATATTCGGTGGCATCTATGAAAATGGTGTTTGGAGAAGAAGATACACTCTCAGTATAAAAAAACTTATCATCAGACCAGAGCAGTTGCGACAATCAACATGGATTGTATTAACAATGATATCAACAAATACAGTTTCGAATATACACAAGTGTATTTTGTTATATTAAATTTATATATTTATTTTATACAGCTTTGTTAAAACTGTAGCTTATCGATAGAAACTCAGCGAATAAAAAAAATGTTAAATGTATTATAACTTAAGTATAACTACAAGTGTTAAATGTAACACTTTAAATTTTGTTTAGTTTTGTATTTTAGCTATCGAAAATTCTAGAAAACTCATCTGGACCACCATTAAGCAACATGAAAATTTACCTAATAAGATACGATCAGAGTCTCCAAGTAAATTCTAATCCAATATCTACAAGTAGCGTGTATTTTCTTTAAATTACTTAGCTCGATTAGATGCACCGGAAGCGATATTAGAGAAGCGAGCGAGCCAGCCAACAACCTTCGTAGATGAAGTCGAAATTATTCAGCTTAGCGGAACGCCATTTGCATATAATAATGTATTTACCAGCTTGGCTTCATTAGCCAAATGAAATTATGGGATGCTGGACCCTTGAGTACTTCGTGTTGTTCATGTTGGTATACCTTATAATCTGCTCTCCTTCCTTTATGAGGCGGCATGGTCGTATTTGATTTTTATCTACAAATGGAAATCCGTGTTACGAATGAAACTGAAATCGCATAAAAAGAGAGATAATAAGCGGATGGGAGCTAACACGAAGCGTCATGGTGCCACCTCGGTTATGTGCTCTCGGAGCGACGCATATATTAAGCGATAACACTGTTAGTGTCAGTGGAAAATATGGCTAAGTCGGCCAGAGAAATGAGTAATTCGGGCTGCTTTTTTACATACTTTGACTTTATCTTTCAATTTTCTCAGTTCGTAGATCAATAAAAACGAAGTTTTGTGTTATCAGATTATATTCAATGTGTCGTGGTAAATTCAATTGTTTTGTATACTAATAAATTAGTTTTCGAATTATTTAGATTTTTCGGTTAAAGTATGTAGGGTATTATAATTTATTATTTATTTATTTATTTATTATCTTTATACAAAATTTAAAAGTAAAAACTTAAAAGGATAATATATTAAATTAAAATTATTTTACTAAACTGCAGTTTTGATTATGTCTAAAGTTTAAAGTGTATTTGAATAATTAACGAGGAACAAAATTGTTTTGGGGTAAGAAGATCGTGCATGGATAATTTATATTTTCTCGTCAGCAGATAATTAGAAGACATAAGGCTTGAAATCTAAGAGTAGTCATTTTGTATTTATATAGATATATAAAAAGCTTACGATACTTTGCATATGGAGAGGCTATTTAATGTTTTCACAATAGTTAACCTTGGTATAGTAATATGATGTTCGGCAATTTTATCTTGCATGATTAGCAATTTATTGACAAGAACATGTATTACATTCTATTACAGCTAAAAAAGAGTATGCACTTTGGAGTTTAAATTTAAACATATAAACAACAGATTTCTGAAAATAGGAGAAAAACAAGAAGAACTAGACTTACAGTAAAGTCATGTAAAAAAGTGCAGAGAGTATAGATATTTACGCAGCATAATATTAATTTACTAAGTACATTATAAAGAGACGTAGAGTACCTACAGCAAGGACCGAAATGCAACGTTTAAGTCGCTATTTTGGTCCAACCGCATTGAAATGTATACAGTATATATATATATATATATATATATATATATATATATATATATATATATATCATCATCTTGGTGCTACAGCCCTTAGAGGGCCTTGACCTTCTCAAGCTTTCTACGCCATTCTGTTCTGTCCCTTGCTTGAATTTTCCAGTTGCCGACTCCGATCTTCTCCGCATCTTGTGTTGTATATATATATATATATATATATATATATATATATATATATATATATATATATATATATATATTATCGAAATGGATTTTATCAGAAGAAGTGTCCAGAATAGAACAAGTGCCGAATGAAGAAACTAGAAGACGCACAAATGGGATTAATTTAACATGAGACAGAATAGAACCAAGGCAGTTAATTTGGTATCAGCACGTAAAGAGGTCATGGTCAAAAAAAGCTATTAATTAAGAATCTGCCAAAAAACAAGACGGTATTAACATGGATCAGTGGAATAAAAGCAACAACGGGGGATAAATAAAGCTATCTAAGAGGATATGAAGAACTGAAAAAAGAGAAAACGGTGACGATTGAAATGCGAGATGCGGCAGCAGCCGCAATATTTTTCCAAACCATTTTCGAGCCGACTATGTTATACGAGTATAGTGGTTTCTAATGTCAGCAATTCTGTCAGTAAAAACTCTATTTTGTTAAGTCTTACTAGCCTCACGATTTTGTGACTTCAGGAGAAAACCGAAAATTAATTGGAATTATTAATTGTTACCAAAGTGAATATACTGGAAGAAATACTGGATATTATGGACTGTCGATATGAACAAACAACACAGTTGATTAGGGTTGCAGTTAGAAAATTGGCCGGGATGTTAAAAAAAACACTCTTTTGACTATCTGTCTAGCTTTTATTTTTATTTCTAGTTTTATTCCTTTTTTAAGACACTGTAATAGACACATATGTAAATATTTAAAAAATATCAGAATTCTTCATTGTAACTTACTACTCGCTGTGATTATTTATAAAAGCGTAGTAGACAGTGTAGTCTTAGGAAGAAATACTGAACGGGATTTAGAACAAAAAATAAAAAGAAAAAAAAAGGGTTTAAAACAAAAAAGCGGAGTATTTGAAATGTTCATTCAAAGAAGTAGTTCATCATCATCATCAACTAGACTCTAACGTCCACTACTAAACATAGGCCTCTCTCATGTTTTCATGAGTCCATGATCTGAATCAAATTTGTAGTCACTCTTTTTATGTCATCTGTCCATCTCGTTGGGGGTCGACTTCTATTTCTGTTAGCTTGTATTCGAAGTCTACATTTCAAA